GAGCTAGTTCTGCATAGTTTCCAAATGGTATTTTTATCTTGTAATTATGTAAAAAGTCACACTGACAGAAATCCACTAGCACATGTGATAGAATCACATTCTTCTCTGGCCATTCCTGAAATGTGTGTGGGTTTTCAAGTAAAAGGTAGTACAAAGAGGTCAAATCCTAGAAAGGCTTGAATTTTCTATTAGAGTAAAAGATAATGGTGGCAATAGGATGGAAGTCCAAGACATCTTTCTTCTGGCTCCCCTGTCTGCTGTCATGAACCAAGCTGACTTAGAACTGAATATTGCAGTAACTATTGTTTTAGTCATCTCAAAACAACGAAATGTTTATATTTGGATTATGTGATTTCATTTAATGTCTTCACATAGCACTTTGATACATGTTGATACATTTTGTGTTACATATTATATAACTGCAAATTATTTCCTAGTTAATTAATTAAAAACAAATAACAAATCAACAATGCCTTGCTAACTTAGGAGAAATATTAGTCATTCACTTTCATAAGCTAGAAATGTGAAAATCTTCCTCAATTTCTGTTTGTCTCTCAACAGTGCCTTCTTCCTCCTCATTCCTATCATTTCAACCTTTCCTCCTGCTCCGGCATCTACTCTCTTAGTCCAGTTCCTTGTTCTCTCTCATTTCTTTCATTTCCCTGCTATCAGTCTCTCCCTACTCTAGTCTGTTTCACGCAATGCCACAAAAGTATCTTCAAAATTAAATTATAACCAGGTCATAATTCTGCTTTTTCAAAGTGTTACTTTCTATGGCTCTTCATACCCACAAGGTAAAATTCAACTTCTTGGGTTCAGCCCTTCTACAGTCTGGCTCCAACCCTAACTCTGTGGCTTTTTTCTTTTGCCTCATCAATTCCAACTGCTTTCCACTCAATGTACACTCTAAAATTCTCACACTCCCCAAAGAGGCCATGCCCTTTCACACATGATCCCCACAGCCTGGAATATCCTTCAGGTCAATTTCACAAGTGATGGTGTGGGCATCTCCGATATACCAGACCCTGTTCTGGCGACTGGAAAACAAAAATAAGAAGATAAAGAGCTTTCTGTCAATGAGTGCAGAGTCTAGTCGTAAGGGCAACAGGCATAAAATGAATAATAATGATGTACTATGATGCACAGAAAATAGAGATATACACTATCTCTCAGCAAAGAGGAGAGAGTGCTACACTTGTCTGGAGGGAGTGGGACAAAGAAGCATGTCAGGGTCCAGATGGACAAGAGTAAGGCAATGCAGGAATGACAAGGGACACCAGGGCAGGAAAGAGCTTCACATTTTCAGGGAGCGGTAAGAGCTTCCACATATAATGCAGACACATAAAACTCAGCTAAAAATGGTGAAGATGCTACATTTTGTGGTATGTGTTTTTTACCACAATTAAATTTTGTTTTCATATTTAAAATAAATGCCATGGGGAGAGTATCTAAAGACTGGGATACACACCTGCCTATCTTCCTCCTCCTTTTCAGCTTGTAAACTCCTACTCATCCTTTAGGATCAGCTCAGTTATCTAAATGACCCCTCCTTTAAAATCCCCATGTGAAAAGTAAATTCAAAATGGATGGAAGACCTAAATGTAAGACAGGAATCCATCAAAATCCTAGAGGAGAACACAGGCAGCAAGCTCTTTGACCTCGGCCGCAGCAACTTCTTGCTAGATACGTCTCCAAAGGCAAGGGAAACAAAGACAAAAATGAACTATTGGGACTTCATCAAGATAAAAAAGCTTTTGCAGAGCAGAGGAAACAGTGAACAAAACCAAAAGACAACCTACAGAATGGAAGAAGATAATTGCAAAGGTTTTATCAGAGAAAGGGCTAGTATCCAAAAGCTATAAAGAACTTATCAAACTCAACACCCAAAAAACAAATAATCCCATCAAGAAATGGACAGAAGACATGAACAGACATCTCTCCAAAGAAGACATCCAAATGGCCAACAGACACATGAAAAAATGCTCAACATCGCTCGGCATCAGGGAAGTACAATATCAAAACCACAAAGCAATACCACTTCACACCTGTCAGAATGGCTAAAATTAACAAGTCAGGAAACAACAAATGTTGGTGAGGATGCAGAGAAAGGGGAACCCTCCTACACTGTTGGTGGGAATACAAGCTGGTGCAGCCACTCTGGAAAACAGTATGGAGGTTCCTCAAAAATTCAAAATAGAGCTACCCTATGACCCAGCAATTGCACTACTAGGTATTTACCCCAAAGATACAAATGGAGTGATCTGAAGGGGCACCTGCACCCAATGTTCATAGCAGCAATGTCCACAATAGCCAAACTATGGAAAGAGCCCAGATGTCCATTGACAGATAAATGGATAAAGAAGATGTGGTATATATATAATGGAATATTACTCAGCCATCAAAAAATGAAATCTTGCCATTTGCAATGATGTGGATGGAACAAGAGGGTATGCTAAGCAAAATCAGTCAGTCAGAGAAAGACAATTATCATATGATCTCACTGATATGTGGAATTTAAGAAACAAAACAGAGGATCATAGGGGAAGAGAGGGAAAAATAAAACAGATGAAATCAGGGAGACAAAGAGACTCTTAACTATAGGAAACAAACTGAGGGTTGCCGGAGGGAAGCGGGGTGGAGGGATGGGGTAACTGGGTGATGGACATTAAGGAGGGCATGTGATGTAATAAGCACTGGGTGGTTTTTCTTTTGTTTGTTTGGTTTGGTTTGTATTTTTTAAAGATTTTGATCATCATTTTAAATGATCCCAGGACCCTGGGATCATTACCTAAGCCAAAGGCGGACGCTTAACCATCTGAGCCACCCAGGTGTCCGCACTGGTTGTTATGTGAGACTGATGAATCACTGACCTCTACCTCTGAAACTAATAATACACTCATATGTTAATTAATTGAATTTAAATAAAATAAAATTAAATTTTAGAAGAAAGAATCCCCATGTGATTCCGTCAGCCTGTGTTCCCTTTTCTGTGCTCCCGTAGAATGCACAGGCCTCTTTTAGAGTACCTAGTCACAGTATATGGCAAGTTTTTATTTACTCCTCTGTTTCCCCAACAAGACCATGAGTTCCTTAAGGACTGACACCATTACTTAGACAAGCACAGATCCTGTACCTCTATAAGAATTATTTATTGAATTAAATTGTTAGTTCACGATTAATTAACCATGTGCCAGACACCACACTAATGTAGCCATACACTACGTGCATGACCTCCTTTTATCCACACAACAACCATATGAGGATAGATATGGTTCTCATTTCCATTTTAAAGACAAGAAAACTGGGATAATGAGAAGCTAGGTCTCTTTCCGAAGTCACACAGTCAGTAGTTGAGATCTGAAGCCAGACTGAAGCCAAACTGTGATTTTAATGACAAAGAAATGAATCAATAGAAGATGTTTCCAAGAGGATAAAGGAGGGGGTGGCATCTAGAGTATTATCAGTTGAGATTTAGCAGGAAGAACTGGCCTAGTAAGTGTCAGACTGTGCTATGTATCTTGCTGAAACAATTTCATTTAAAATCATTTCATCCTCGAAATTTCCATGAGACCTAGAGACCCAACTGAAGAAACTGAGGTTCAGGACAGTTGGGTGCTGGTGAGAGTTCTCTTCTGGATTGTAGACTGCCAACTTCTAATTGTAGCCTCACATCCTTCACAGAGAAGACAGCATGGAGATTTTCATCCCCTTATAAGGGCACCAATCTCATTACCCGCAAGACCGCATCCAAACCTCCCAAAGACCTCACCTCCAGATACCATCACACTGGAGACTAGGCTTCAACATACGAATCTGGAGGGTACAGAGTCAGTCCATAACACCATGCAAATTAAATCCAGCTTTCTTCCCATCTCAAACCTGAACCCTCTTGGCTGTATCACTATAAATTCATGACTACACTAACCTCAAGTATGGCTTTTAAAGGTGTCTGGAAATTATAATATTCACTTTCTATGTCTCTCATTCACTCTCCCACTGCCGCTGTTCATCTCTCTCACCTGATGACTTTCCTTCCTATTTCATCCATCAAATACAAGCAATCAGAAGAAAAGTTCTACCAGCTCCCACTCTTGCATTTATCCACTTTCCTGCATCTGAGTCCATATGCTCTGCCCTGCGTCCTGTTACTATGAACTGATCACATTCCTACCGAAGGCCAGCACCTTCTCTTCTGCACCAGATCCTGTCTATCTTCCTTACTCCATTATGCTTAAATATCCCTCTAACAATGCTCCCAGCTTTCTTCTGGTCATCAATTTTTCCCTCTCTTGGATCATTCCCATCAACATCAAATCTGTTGCAATTTTTCTCATATTAAAATAAACAAAACAAAAACTCAAACCCACTTACTTTCATATCACCCTCCAGTTTTAGCTACCACCACATTTCCGTGCCCTTATAGAAAAGCTCCTCAAAAGAGCTGTCTGTTCTCATGCTCAAAGTCCTCTACTCCCATCTCCTGAGTCCTCTTCAGATAGGTTCACCACTCATCATTACAGTGAAACTGTTCCTGTCAAGACACCAATGGTCTTCATTTTGTCAAATGCAAAAATATATTCCCAATCCCCATCTTCTTGGGACTATCAGCATTTAACACAGTTGATGTTGCCTACCTGATGTTGAAACTTTGTTTAGCTTCCAGAACACCATACTCTCATGATTTTTTTCCTTTCTGGCTAACTGCTCCTTCTTTGTCTTCTTTGCTGATTCATTCTCAACACCCCAAGCAAAATCCATTCATATTTAATGCCCTCTAATTTAGAATAAATAATGTAGTTCATTTTGCAGCAAATGTGCTTTCCTGATTTTATCTTCTCATCTGTAATTTAATTAGTTTTCATTCTCTGAGCATATACCAACTGGCTAAAGGAGGAGCCAGAGGGGTACGCTGGGTGGTGAAGGGAAACCATTTCAGGACTGATCTTTACAGATCACAGATAACCAGTTACTCATTGATCCTTGTGTGTCCTCTCTTGTAGTGTGTTCCTGTCATCCAGTTGGATCAGCTGTCCTTCCTTTCAACTCGGTGACCTTCTGTGACCCCAGCAATGGTGACTGCCCTTGCAAGCCTGGGGTGGCAGGGCCACATTGTGACAGGTGTATGGTGGGGTACTGGGGCTTTGGAGACTACGGCTGCAGGCCCTGTGACTGCGCAGGGAGCTGTGACCCCCTCACAGGAGACTGCATCAGCAGGTGAATGCTCGTGGCTCTTGCTCTGTCCATGTGTCCTTCAGATTCTTTTGAAGATCTGGTAGTGATTTGGAAAATCTTGCATGCTATCAGTGCAGCAAAGATGTATTTGCATAGCTCTTTCAAGAATCTTTGTCAAACTGCAGAGTCATTTGTTCTTGCAAGATTCTAGAGATGGTCTGGTTCATTTTGCAGAACAAATTATTCTTAACAATAGGCCCTTAAAACACTATTTCTGAAAACTAAAAGGATGGCAAGGTACCTGATTAGGTTTAAGTCTCCATACATATGTTCATTTCATTCAAGTTCTAAGAGAGTCCTTAACTTCATCATTTTCTATTTTATTAGTAGCACAGACATAGACTGGTATCAAGAAATTCCTGACTTCCATTCCATGCACAATAAAAGCGAGCCAGCCTGGGAGTGGGAGGATGAGCAAGGATTTTCTGCACTTCGACACTCAGGTGAGACAATGGATATAACCAGTTATCATATTTCCAGGTCTGGTCTCGAGTAACAGTGATTTGTGACAAACCAGGAAACAACTCTTAGATCCTACCAGGGAAACTCTTTAGTTCTGAGGTTAATAAAATAGTGACACCCCTGCCCATAAGCATAAAACTATTAAAAGATAGCCAAAGAGTATTTTAACAAGCTTTTGTTTATTTTCTGATTATTAGCATAACATTTCTAATTAGTATAGAAAATCTGGAAAATGCAAAACATCACAGTAAAAAAATACCCAAATCTCATTACCCAAACTGTTAGTGTTTTGGTGTGTTTCTCTCTCTCTAAAACATACTGTTTTACACAGGTGAGAGCTAATTGAATATATTAGGTTTGGAAATGTAGAGATCCATTTAAAGGAAAAATATTCTTATAGACCTAACGAAACTTAATATACACAAAGCTAAGTGTAAACTCCTTGTTTATATCTTTTTTACAACTAGAAAACAAAAATAATTTTATAAAACTAATTATAAGCCAAATAACAAAACTAATAAAATTCAAAATAACACCATTAATTGAATATGAAGAATGATTTTTACTGAAGCCAAAACACTTTTTCCTACATAAATATGGTTCTTTGGGTCTACGAAGTCTATACTACTATTTCCTGACTCTATTTTCCTATGATGTTTATCTGTTCCTTTGTTTGATGAGCATGCTGTGATATTGGTGTGAATACCTGGTTTCTGTGTTGATCCTGCCTCTGTTCTTCTCTTATAGAAAGTCAAGTGGTTCTGTTCAGCACCAACTTGCTCCATAACACAAACACAAATGTGGGCATGAAATCTTGTGTCAGCATTTGGTTATAAAGTGCTCCCAAAATGATCCAAATGAAACTTACAATAATTTTTTTAATTTTTATTGGGGTATAATTGACATATAACATATTAGTTTAGGTGTACAACATAATGATTTGTGTGTATTGTGAAATTGTCACCAAAAAATTCTTTTTATTAAACATTACAAATGCCAAAAATGTATTATTAACACCCATATACACACCAGCTAGTGTTAACCAAATTTTATGTTTTGCCATAATTGTTTCATATTTTCATTTCAATTTTAAAGTGTTATAGATACATTCGAAGACCTGTACCAATCTCCAACTTCACTAGCCTCCCTTACTCCACAGAATAACCACTAACCTGAATTTTGGTATTTATCATTATCTTTAATGTTTTTACTATTACTACATATATAAATAGAGTGTTTTTTAAAATTGCATGCACATGATAACTTACCTATGCCTTTAAAACTTTCTTTGATCTGAATATGTATTTTTTTTAGATTTATGCATTCTCTTACTTGAATATGCCACTTTTTATTCTCTCATTATCTGCCATTTAGGATATTTCTAATTTCCAATTTTATGTAATGTTATAACGAATGTTTTTTTAAATAATTTTTTAAAAAGATTTTATTTATTTGAGAGAGAGAGAGAGAGCATGAGCACTGGGGGGGACAGGCAGAGGAAGAGAGACAAGCAGACTCCCCACCGAGCAGGGAGCCCAATGCGGGGCTGGATCCCAGGACCCTGGGATCATGACTTGAGCCGAAAAGAGACACTTAACTGAATGAGCCACCCAGGCGCCCCAACGAATATTCTCTTAAATGTGACTTGGTGCACTTAAGAAGGAGATTCACCAAAAAAAAAAAAAAAAAAAAAAAGTTTCATTAGAGCAGGGCTGGCAAACTGGCCCTCAGACCAAATCTGGCCTGCCAACTGTTTTTCTACAGCTCACAAGCTACCTGCTCTAAGGTTTATAGTTATAATTTAAATAGTTATATTAATACCTGCATAGTATCTTTAATTTTGTCTCAGCCCATAAATCTTAACACCTTTATTATCTATCCCTTTATAGAAAAAGTTTGCTGATCTTCTCCTAGGGTAAAACCTAGCCACTGTTGGGCCACTAGTATGGTTTTTTATCAAATTTACCACATATTGCCAAATAGCTCTCCAAAGTGGTTATACAGATTTGCATCTACAAGCAAAGTATGATATCCTGTTGCTTTATAGCCTCACTGATACTTTGTATTTATTTAACAAATTTTTATAAAGCACATACAAGGGGCCAAGCACTATTCTACCTCACCAACTCAGGCACAATTCAACTCATTTAATATTTTGGGGCTTCTAAAGTTAACATTATCAAATCTCTCAACTTTTGCCAATCTGATGAGTATGGACTGGGACCTTGCCATTTTAAATTGTATTTTCCTGATTACTAACAGTTTTAGTAACTTTTCATGCTTTCTTAACCATTCAGGTCTCTTTTTCTGTGTATTTCCAATTTGTCATTTTCTAATTAGTAATTCCTTATAAATTCATTCATCTACCCAACAAATATTTATTGAATACCCACAATGTATGCCAGTACTGTAAATATAGTAATGGAACAGAACAGATAAAAATCCCAACCTCCAAGGAGCTTACATTCTTGTGGAGGAAGACAACTAATAATATTAATAAGTAAAATATTTAGTGTCATGTTTTTTAATATAATAGAGAAGTAAAGCAGGGAGGGAGATAATAAGTGGTCAGAGGGGCATACTTTTAAAAAAGGTGATCAAGGAAAATCCTGTGAAAGGTGACATATGAGGTAAAAAAAAAAAGAAAACTAAAAAAGTTAAGAGAGTAAGCTATACAGATAAAAGAGGGAGGAGAGTTTAGGCAGAAGAAATAGCAAGTGCAAAAGCCCTGAGGTCAGCAAGGAGACCAGGGTGACTGGGGCAGAGTAAGAAACCACAATTTTAATACACTTTCATAGAGAACTTATGGACTCTTCAAGGACCAAGAACCCAAATTTGAGAAACACCTGTATTTGTAATTCTGTATCCTGTTTTTTTTCACTTAACATAATCTTGTGATCATTTTCCTCATGGTTTCATTTTAGTTCACAACAGGAAAGAAGGTGGGAAAGATAAAGGAATACAAAGTAGTCATATTTATCTTTTTTAGCATTTGAAAAAGAAAAAAAATCTTTCCCATTAATTTTTGGCCTCAATGCTAAATAGTCTGAATTCTATAATTTTAACTCAACCACTTTTGGAACTTTTCTTCTATTTTACTAACACAATGATTTTCATAATGATTCAAATTTGCCTGCTGGCCAAATCTGTAAAAATCAAGTTTTTAGGACCATAGGACATTCATTAAGCCAATCATGTTACTAGGGAACTGGCGATACACCAATTCAGCACATAACGTGCTGGCATCAGAATCACTTCAAACTCACATCCACAACAGCTGTTAGGTCTGTGCTACCCCTAGAGAGTCTCTGAAATTCATCTGGAGGAGCTCCAGATAGAGGAAGCCATTGTTTGGTTTCCTGCTAAATATCAGTATTCCCATTGGGTATAGAATAGTGCTGTGCTCGTGGCACCTTTTTTAAACAACAACAAAAAAATGGTCAGTTTTTTAAGCACCATAGTTCGTTCTCAAATATATGTGCCTACCTACCTATTTACCTACCATAGTTTCTCAAACTAGAAATATAATGCACTATACCAACAAGATACCCTTAATTTCTACCACTTCTTAGGAGATAGAGAACATTAGATGTAAAATTTTTTTATTGTTATGTTAATCACCACACATTACATCATTAGTTTTTGATGTAGTGTTCCATGATTCATTGTTTGTGCATAACACCCAGTGCTCCACGCAGAATGTGCCCTCTTTAATACCCATCACCTGGCTAACCCATCCCCCCACCCCCCTCCCCTCTAGAACCCTCAGTTTGTTTTTCAGAGTCCATCGTCTTAGATGTAAAATTTTGCCTCCTGTACAAGTCTGGCTTTAATTAGTACCATAGAACTTGTACAACAAAACTGGCTTTAAGTAGTACTACAGAATTTGTACAAGAAAACTGGTTTTAACCAGTACCACAGGACTATAAACAATGTTCTAATAGCCCAATATTAACTAACTAGGTTTTTCTCCCCTTCCAGATTTCCTTTAAGACAACACATCTGGGTTAAAGCCTGATCAACAAAGATTCATTCAAAAACAAATTTTAGGGGCGCCTGGGTGGCTCAGTTGGTTAAGCGTTAGATTTTGGTTTCAGCTCAGGTCATGATCTCAAGATTGTGAAATTGAGCCCCTGCAAAGGACTCTGCACTCAGCAGAGTCTTGCTTGCCCTTCTCCCTCCCCCTTTGCCCCTCCCAGCCCCCCTCAAATAAATAAATACAATCTTTTTTTAAAATGATTACAATGGTAATCTTTATGAAAAAAATTTTTAATGTCTGATTTCTTAACATATGAAAAGGGAGTATTGGAAAGCAACCACAGGAAGATCTTCAAATAACGGAACTTTGTATGTTCCTGTTGGCTGAAGGACTACAAAGAAGAACATCAGTTGAGTAATAATATATGCCATTTGGAGTTCCATTAGGTTTTTTAGCACGGTAGTTACCGTACTCTCCAGCTTCGGTGGAATTATCAAAGGCTGTGGGCTACCTACTTAGGTTACTCCAATTTCCGAATGAGTAACCCTCTCTGCTATGTTTAGATTATATGCAATATTATTTAACAAATCACAACAGCTAATTTTAAGAACCTTAGATTTCTCATTCCCACTATTTAATTCCACTGTGTTTTTCCACTTACACATCTCATTCTCTGGTCTCTAGAGCAGCTTTAGTTAGAGCCGGTATGTCACTATTTGCCACATCACCATGTCTACCCAACCTCATCTCACCAGAATCATACTCTCATTTCCACGCGGATGTTTTGTCAGCAACTCTAATTCATTATATTCTCCTCATGCTAGACCTCTGTTGTTTTTGCCTAACCAGATCCATTTCCCCTTTATTCCTGCTATTTCTGCGGTAGCTCAACCCAGTTTTTCTCTAGGGAGCCACCCTTCCCCCCCCCTCCATTAAATACAGTCTTGGCCAGGCCAATCAGATGTGCTCTCCCCGGAACTTAAATCTTGAGCTGAAAGTGACGAGGTCTGAAAGTGATCCCAGTTCACGATTCCGATGGCAAATCCATAAAAGGGACTGCACAGCAGTTCCTGATACCTAGATCTTTGCTGCTCTCCTGATTGTCTTTTCTGAGTTCTGGTTCTTCAGCTTTTTCTCCTGTGAGCTACTCCATATCCTTTGAACAATTAAGTTAAACCACTGATTGCTACAAAAAACCTTAAGTTATACATCCCTGAAGTGCTCTCCTCCTAACTTCCCTATTTCTGTTAGTAATACTTCAGTCTTCTGTCACCTTGGCTGCAAGGTGACAGGAAAACTCCAAGTTCATTCTTAGGCTTCCTCTTCCAATCCATTGACAAGATTTGTAGACCCTAAGTCTGCAGCCTCCCTTAATATTTCTTCCTCTCTAGACCTACAGCCATCTCTTTTGTTCAGACCCACATTTTATCTGACTTAGAGAGAATACAGTGGAAAGATCAGGGGCTTCAGATTCTCCCAGACCCAGACCCATCTACTTGTTAGTTATGTTGCCTTGGACAAGCTAATTAACTTCTCTGAGTCTTTATTTTTTCATTTGTTAATAATGCCTATCTCATAAGGTTATTATAGATATTAAACAAGATCATATGGATAAAGTTCCTTATATAGTTTATGGCTTGTGGTTGGCACTCATTTCAGTTACTGTTGCTGTCATCAATTTCATCAGCTTTTAACTGGTCCCTGCTTCCATTTTCTTTCCATGCCAATAATTTTTATGAGCTTTGAAAATTCCCCTTTATCAATGGACAAAATGGGGGAAGGGGAATGGGAGATACAGGCCTCCATTTATGAAATTAACAAGTCATGGAAATAAAGGTACGGCATAGGGAATACAGTCAATGATATTGCAATAGCATTGCATGGTGACAGATGGTAGCCACACTTGTGGTGACATAGCATAACATACAACTTGTTGAATCACCTGAAACTAATGTAACATTGTGTGTGAACTATACTAAAAAAAAAAAAATCCCCTTTCTCTAACAAATTAAATTCAGGCCCTAACAGTCCAGGTCCTCCATGATATCTTCTACTATTCACAACTCAATCTGTACCCAAGAAAAACAGAACCACTGACTCTTCCATGAACACACCCTGCCCTTCTCTCTTACATTTCTTTCCTCACTCTAATATCTCTACATTCTTGTCAAATTTCTACCTGTTAGAATCTTAGATGAGTAAATAAATATAAAACACTTAAAATAGTGCCTGGCACACAGTAACTGCTCCTTAGTAAATGTTACCTACTTTCATGCCACTCAATGCCTACGAAATGCAATGCGTGAGGGCAGAAGGGGAGGGATGATAAAATTATATCTAATTGTTATGTAAGAATGGAAATCCTACCCCTTCTGGGTTCTAGGAATATAAAGATAAATAAGATGTAACTGTCATCCTCAAGGATCACAGTTTATTTATTTATTTTTAAAGATTTTATTTTTTATTTATCTGACAGAGAGAGAGAGAGAACAAGCAGGGGGAGCGGCAGGGAGAGGGAGAAGCAGGTTCTCACTGGGCAGAGCCCGATACTGGGCTCGAACCCAGGACCCTGGGATCATGACCTGAGCTGAAGGCAGTTGCTTAACCGACTGAGCCACCCAGGCGCCCCAAGGATCACAGTTTAGAGAGGAAGCAGATAAATCAGTGAGAATGCTATGTATAGATTCTATCAAAGGCATTTTGAAAGTCTTTCACAGGGCGTGCCAAATATCTGACACACAATAACTGTCATACATCACTTAAACTGTCAAAAAAATATCCTACTTATACTTCAGAGTCCATTTCAAATCCTTCTTCAGCCATGTAGCCTTTTTCCATCTTCCCAAACATGTGGCCCTCCCACCCAAACATATTGTGCCTGTCTTAGAACACTGTGTGTACACTTGCTTTATTCACCTTACTGAATTGTAAGCCTCCAGGCAAGAATTGTATATTGCTCATCTTTATAGACTCTGAAGTATATAGCATCATGTCCTACACATAAAAGGTGTTCAATAAATACTTTTAAATTGGATGGCATTACCTTCAAAAGACTGCTCGATTATTTTACTGTATTTGACTTTTGCTGTGGTGAACATTAATTGTAAAAAGACAGTTGTCTTTCCTATAGTTTATCCATTCCATTGTTCCTTTCCATTAGCATGGAGTCTTAATACTGGACTATATCTATCGTAACATCAATTATAAGCATTAAAATATATCATTGTTTCTACCTCTATTTCTCCTAAGTCAATATTTTATTGAATGATAACTAATTCAATTCAGAAAGTGACTCTACTTCGTTTAAATGACTTTGTATGGTTTCTTAGTATTTATGGATTATGTTGTATGAATCACTCAAGCTTTAAAGAGTTCTACAACCTGACACCTGAAACTAATATAACACTATATGTTAATTATACTTCAATAAAAAAAATGAGTTATGCTACCTAGATTTACTTGCTCGTTTTTTTTCCCTCTTCTTTGTTTCTAAATAACTATTTTTCATTTACTTTCTGTAGGTAAATGTGAATGTAAAGAACAGGTGTTAGGAAACTCCAAGGCATTCTGTGGAATGAAATATTCATATGGTAAGTTTGAAGTCCTTGAATGCTTCTTTTTTTTTTTAAAGATTTTTTTTTTTTTATTTATTTGACAGAGAGAGACACAGCGAGAGAGGGAACACAAGCAGGGGGAATAGGAGAAGGAGAAACAGGCTTCCCGCTGAGCAGGGAGCCCGATGCAGGGCTCGATGTGGGGCTCAATGCGGAGCTTGATGCGGGGCTTGATCCCAGGACCCTGGGATCACGACCTGAGCCAAAGGCAGACGCTTGACGACTGAGCCACCCAGGCGCCCCTCCTTGAATGCTTCTAAGAATCTATTCAAACCAAGTACAAAGAGTTTTTTTTAGGAATTGGGAGGCTTAGTCTATGACATTCTCAATATATCAAAGCATTAGTCTTATATAATAATTCCAATAAAGATGCTGTTGAATGTTCTGGTGAGGGCAGGAGGCTTGTAGAGCAAAGGCAAGGCCGTCCTACTATGAGGAAAAGAAGCAAGGGAAGTCTCTAGCCACTAAAATGATTCCTGTGCCAGTTTCATGTAGTAATACCAGTTTCGAGTAATAATCTGTGCCAGTTATCATGTAGTAATACTAAGCAGAAATCAGTTCAAACACTATTTCACAGTGATTAAGAGCTCGAGCTTTGGATTCAAACATATATAGGTTTGATTTCTGGTCTATCGCATGGATAACTTAACCTCTCTAGATTTCTTCATCTGTAAAATAGGGATGATGCCACCTATCCCATAAAATGGGATTTTTGAAAAGCACACAACACAATATCTTTTTTCTTTTTTTAATTTTTTATTGTTATGTTAATCACCATACATTACATCATTAGTTTTTGATGTAGTGTTCCATGATTCATTGTTTGTACATACCACCCAGTGCTCCACACAGAATGTGCCCTCTTTAATACCCATCACCAGGCTAACCCATCCCCCCACCCCCCTCCCCTCTAGAACCCTCAGTTTGTTTTTCAGAGTCCATCGTCTCTCATGGTTTGTCTCCCCCTCCAATTTACTCCCCTTCATTCTTCCCCTCTTGCTATCTCCTCCTTTTTTTTTTCTTAACATATATTGCATTATTTGTTTCAGAAGTACAGCTCAGTCTTGCACAATTCACAGTGCTCACCATAGCACATACCCTCCCCAATGTCTATCACCCAGCCACCCCGTCCCTCCCACCCCCCACCACTCCAGCAACCCTCAGTTTGTTTCCTGAGATTAAGAATTCCTCATATCAGTGAGGTCATATGATACATGTCTTTCTCTGATTGACTTATTTCACTCAGCATAACACCCTCCAGTTCCATCCACGTCGTTGCAAAAGGCAAGATCTCATTCCTTTTGATGGCTGCATAATATTCCATTGTGTTTATATACCACATCTTCTTTATCCATTCAACTGTCGATGGACATCTTGGCTCTTTCCATAGTTTGGCTATTGTAGACATTGCTGCTATAAACACTGGGGTACACGTACCCCTTTGGGTCCCTACATTTGTATCTTTGTGGTAAATACCCAGTAGTGCAATTGCTGGATTGTATGGTAGCTCTATTTTCAACTATTTGAGGAACCTCCATACTGTTTCCAGAGTGGTTGCACGAGCTTGCATTCCCACCAACAGTGTAGGAGGGTTCCCCTTTCTCCGCATCCCCGCCAACATCTGTCATTTCCTGACTTGTTAATTTTAGCCATTCTGACTGGTGTGAGGTGGTATCTCATTGAGGTTTTGATTTGGATTTCCCTGATGCCGAGCGATGTTGAGCACTTTTTCAACACAACACAATATCTAGCACACACTATATGCTCAGTAACTGGCAAAAAGGAGGAAGAGGGTATATATTTGGGAAGCACTGAGATTAGCTGTCCATCCAAGCTTTTTCCCTGCCCTCTCTGTATATTCTAGACTCCTGTATCTTTCAAGTACCAGGAAAATATAGATAAAGGAAAATGTCACTGCCCTAAGACTGTTACTATCTTCAAATTCTAAATGGCTTTATGTTTACTAGTAAAGCAAATTAGATGCCTTATCTTGCCAACATATTCTTGACTAAAAAGCCTAGTATCTAAGGCTTTTTATTGTTCCATAATTCATACTGCCCGAAATACACATTACAATGAAGAGAATATTTTAAGTCATGATTTCTGAAATCAAGTGTTTAGGTTCTTGATAACATTGTACTTAATCTCATAAAAGATAAAAAAGTAAATGTTAAAAACCTCATAAATCTTATCTAAAATTACATACATATTTCCCTCCTTTCACCTGACAACTTGGCTAAATAACAGAAGAAAACTTGAAATGTATAGTGCTCAATAAAGAAAAGTTAGTTTAGAGAAAATGGTATTTACTATCAGAAGCAAAAAACATGACAATTTAGTCCAAAGGTAGTCAGTTTAGTGGAAATACCAACTGGTTTTCAATATTTAGTAGCTCTCTAATTTACAAACAACTGCACTGGCATCTTTTAATACAACTGTATTATCTTCTCCTTAAGAAAACTTGGACACGGGTGCCTGGGTGGCTCAGATGGTTAAATGTCTGCCTTCAACTCAGGTCACGATCCCAGGGTCCTGGGATTGAGCCCCGCATCAGTCTCCCTGCTCCACAGGAAGCCTGCTTCTCTGTCTCCCACTCCCCCTGCTTGTGTTCCCTCTTTCGCTGTGTCTCTGTCAAATAAATAAATAAAATCTTAAAAAAAAGAAAAGAAAACTCGGACATTCTTAATGATGTAATTAAATACTTTGTTCTTACTAGGTGCGATACACCCACAGACTTGGAAAAAAATGGTTTCCCCCTCCCCATTCTCTCTATTAATGGGGAAAAAAACTTGATTCATTGTTTATTCCTTTGGCAAATATTTATTAAGCTATAAGAGTGAATAGATGAGGTCCCAGTTCTCTTTGAGCATACAGTCTAGTAGGAAAATAATAGTGAACATTTGTTGAGCATTAGCCATGAGCCAAGCACTATGCTACATACCCTTCATACATTTATCTTATTGGGGTTCCAGCCCAAACTCTACCTCTAACTAACTGGTCATGCAAATTTGGGAAGTTCACTTAATTTCTTAAAATTTGCTTCCTCAAACATAAAACAAGACTAGATGAACTCTTAAGACCCATTAAAAGTCTAAAATTTGGTGATTCTATAAAAACTGCTATCTGACAACCATATTCTCAGGAATTGGGACCAGCCAATATAGAGTTCCCTCATTACACAGAATTTTCCATCAAGATATAAATGAGCATGTAAGAACTCTTCTAACAATATAGAACACTACATCCAGTGTTCCTTCGGTGTACTTTCTTCCCCACCCCAAATTATTCCACTGCTTAATCCCCAGCCATATCCAATTCATAGATGGAAGAGCAGAGCATAATACAATTGTGAGTTATAGGGAATACTGAAGCTCTGCCATCCTGTGGAAAGACAGCCACCCTAACCCCAGTCAGTTTGCATTTTCCATCCAGGGAAGAAGATTAAATAATCAATATTTAATTATTTAATCTCTTTAGAATATGTAAAATATATTCTGGCAGTAACATTGTGTTTGTTCTTTGTTGTAACTTTAATACACAGTGAACCAGAGGAAAATATAGTCAGAATCTAAATAGAAAGCATTCTTCTTCCTATACACCTCATTTCTATTTGGATTTGATAGCTAACTGTGTTTAAGACTATGTTTGTAGTAGGCAAATGACTGACAGTCTCTTAGCATAATGATATGGGAAACAGTGGTTGAAAATGTCTAAGAAGGAAGAGTACAGTTAATATAGATAAATAAGGTGAAACCAATGCAAAAGTTAGTGAGCCTAATGGTTTTTTTGAGTTTTTTAAAATTCCGGTATAGTTAACATACAGGTTTTTTTTATTAGTTTCAGGTGTATAATACAGTGATTCAACAATTCTAATTATTACTCCGTGCTTATCAAGATGAGCCTAATGATTTTTAAAGCAAATTTCCACATTTGCATCATCATTAGTTAACTTTTCCATTATACTCTGAAATGCATATTTAAGTTATTCCAAGTTCAAAAGGCAGTATGAAATTCTATGCATTTTGACTTTTGGGATTGTGTTGTTACAGTGCTAAAAATAAAGATTTTATCAGCTCACGACAAAGGGTCTCATGCTGAGGTCAATGTGAAGATAAAAAAAGTCTTAAAATCTACCAAATTGAAAATTTTACGAGGAAAACGAACATTATATCCAGAATCGTGGACTAACAGAGGCTGCACTTGTCCAATCCTCAATCCTGGTAAGCATTAGACTTTTGTAGCTTAATAACTGCTTTGTCTCTGCTGATTTGCTCCTTGTCCTAACATTCTCTAAACCACAACTGAAATAAACTCACCAAAGAGTATCTCTCCTTTTCACCATCTGAATTCTGGGGACAATCCAAATGGAATTCTTTGAACTGACATAAAAAAATTATTTCTCTTCCACATGTTCTATAAAAGTAAAATATTTTAAAATCCAGCAATATAATATTTTCTGCCCTAAAAGAGAAGTCTCAGCTTGTACCAGTAGCATAGAAAACACTTTCATCAATTTGGATGCCACTAACACTTCATCTGAAAGCTAGGTCCTATTATGGTGCCCTGGGTAGAACTTGCTCCCAAAGGAAATTCGAATGCAAAATTCCATCTGTGCAAATAATATTGAATTAATTTTTTACAATTGCATGAGAAGCATCTGTGTCTCCTGGATAGAAAACAACTCTCAAATTCTCATCATCTTGTTTTTCATTAAATGATCATTCTGGTTTCAAATTAGAAACAGAAATTAAAACAACAACAACAAAACCACTACAGAATCTTAGAGAAACTTGAAATTAAGGGAAATTTGCATCTTCAAATGTAATTACGGTGGAAGAGCCAAGCAAGTAAGCGTGGGATTCTTACCTTTATACTCTACAAGTACACTTTCATACTGTGTCATATGCTACTTACTTCTGTCTCCTTCATTAAATTTGAGGATGGGATTTAGATTTTTGATCATAGCATCTCTAGTACCTACCATTAGTACCTAAATAATAACACAGTACCCAGATAGTAAGTTCTATTAAAACAAACATATTTTGGGGTGGATCAGTTGGTTAAGCGTTTGCCTATGATCCTGGAGTCCTGGGATTGAGCCCCACATCAGGCTCCTTCTCCCTCTGCCTGCAGCTCCCCCTGCTTGTGCTTGCGCGCTCTCTCTCTCTCTCTCTCTCTCTCACCTTCTCTCTGACAAATAAATAAATAAATAAAATCTTTAAAAAAACCATATTTTTAAAAATGCTCTGTATTTCCCACATTATGTACTTGCCACCTGTTTCTTAATTGCACTGCTAATACAGGTACATAATTTATGTTCTGGATCTAATTCCTTTCAAATAAAAGTCCAGGAAACCCCAGTTATGTTCTTAAGAAGTCACTGTAGTCTTTGACTAATAACAAAGAGAAACAGATAACTGAGTGACAAAGAAAAAGGGAAACTCTCAATGAAATATTCCCCCCAACCTAAACAATCTAAAATATAAAACTCTTGACTTTTTGACTGTTGACTAATCTCTTATATCCTTTTATGCCCTTTTAATATTTTATTTAAATTCATTTAAATTTTAATAAGGAAAAGAAGACATTTTAAATAATAAATAAATATGTTTCTGAAGAACAAATGAAGTAATCAGAATCTTAGATTTTGAACACAGGGAAATGAAGACTCCTTAATTTAAGTTCTATTTCCCAATAATCTGTGTGTAGAGGCTCTTCCTATAAGCACTTTCTATTATCTTGGCAAAAGAAAAAATAATCTGCCCAGTTTTTTAGTAAGACATTAAAAAAAAAAAGAAAAGCTTTGGGCATCTGAGCCACCCTCCAGGAAGTAAACTATACTTCCTCATCAGGTTTCTGCCAGAGTCAAAGAATCCACTGAGTTCATCACAATTGAAAACATAAGTGCAATTATTCAAAGAATTCTTAAAAACATGTTTACTCACTTTGAAGAAAAGACTGGAATCTGCCAAAGCAAAACCAGACACTCTTTCATTTCACTTTGTTTTTCCATTTTTACAAGTTCAATAGCTAAGGCCAAAGAAAGCTGATAAGAAAATTCGGAAACCTTACACACCAACTAGCTTCCTCTGCTACTTTTTGAAAAGGAACAATCTAATTGACAACCCTGTAAATTCATTCATTCCTACATTCATACATACATTTACTCATTCATTAATCAATTTAAGATATCAAGACTAGCACTAAAGTATTATATTTTCTTTCTCTATGGAAACAAAATAAACTTTGTGCCCTCAAACAGGTAGTAAAGTAGATGTTGAAAGCAAAAAATAAGAAAGTAAAAAGTAAATGCTAGTAAGTGATACAACAGATAATGTTATTTTCCATGCTAATTTTTGGCATGATGCTGCTCCATAATTAATGGATTTATTCAGTATAATTTCTATCAGTTCAATGTATATTCATACTTTAAATTAATGGCAAACTCCTATAGTATTTGTTCTCTTGATAGTTTCAAAGTAAATTCATTTAAAATACTAAACTTAACAATGAAGTTTCCTAAAAATTATTTATTGTATTTTTATATGAGGATTTTATTACTTTAGGTATAATACAAACAATATCAAGACCATTATATTTTAATTAGTCCATTAATTAAATATTGGGATTCTTTTTCATGCAGATGCTAAGGTTACTCTTTAAATAATTTAAATACCTTATAACCCTTCTTTCATTTGTGCTCTCTGGTGTTAAAGTCTCTATCATTATTATCCCTTTCTCTCTCTCTTTTTTTTTTGAAAACACCATCATAGCTATGTTTAAGTTTAGGGCTGATTTCTTTTACTAATATTTTAAATAACTCCCTTATTATAGAAGCTATCACATATACATTAAAAAAATTTAGAGGAAAATTTAAAATTTCAATTTCTTACCTCCAGAGATCCTCTCTGTTGACAGCTTAATGCAAATCTTTCAAGGTCTTTCTCTGTGCATGTACGTATTATATTTTTTAACCAAAATAAAATCATAGTATGCTCTATTCTGTAACCTACTTTATTTAGTTAGTGATCATTGCCTTCAATTATAGTTTATTCTCATATACTCTAATACTCACACTGTATTCCAATTTCGTAACTGGTCCCAAAATGTCCTTTAGAACTGGTTTGTCCTTGTCAGTGTTCAATCCAGGATCACACATTGTATCTAGTTTTTAAGACTCTCAAGTCTCTTTTACTCAAGCACAGTTCCTTTTTTAATTGTTGTTGAAGAAATAATTAGTGTTGAAGAATCCAGGCCAAGTGTCCTGTAGATTATCTTACCTTCTGTATTTGACTGGTTGGTTCCTTGTCATGTCATTTGGCTTGTCCCTCTACCTCCCATGTTTCTTGTAATCTCTAAAAAAATCTTGATAGAGTCAAGATAAACATTTTGATTAGAATGCACTAGAGATATTGCTGGGTATGTACTTTATGTTAAATCATATCAGAAGACACATAAGACCTGGATAACCCACCATCAGGGTTGCTAAACTTGACACTTGGGTTAGAGTGATGACAGCCTGATCTCTCCATTGGGCAGTTTTGTTTTCCCTTTTGAGATTAGAAAGTAATGAGTGTGATGTTATTTAGTCATGATACAAATATCCAGTTTCCCATTGACCATTGATTTGATGATGTTACCACCAACTGGTAATCCTTCCTGAATCAATAATTTCATTAGAGCTTGAGAAATGATGTTTTTCTGATTCCCCTCATTTACTAGTTGACATTCTTCTGTAAGGGGATTTTCTCTTTCAATCTGGGCTATAGATTACCATTCAATATAGTTCCTATTTAAACACAGGGTAAATGCTAAATTCTTTCCTTATAACTCCCAAAGTGCTTACCTTGCAAAGTAAGTAATGGTCTTAACAGCTGCTTCAAAAGATGACAAACCAATTTTTTTCTGGATTTTTCTTTTTTGAGTATCATTTTGGAATTATGGATTTTTGTTGATTCCGTATGTTTCAATAGATACAATCATTATGTTCCTTGGTGCTCAAATTATCACAACTTTAACAAGTTGTAACCCTTTCTTGCTAGCTCCCATGTCCTTTTACAATGATCCTCATTAATCTTTGAGAGCTTCCTCGATTTTTAGCACAATAAGATATCCCATGCTACATTGTATCTTCCTGTCCTGGACCTGCAACAGCATTTCTGCAAGAAGCCTTGTTTTCTTTGTTTTGTTTTGTTTTGTTTTTAGTGAGATCTGTTTAATTAGAGAGCACAGTATGTCTACTATAGGTGTTCATTGCTACTGGAGCCTTTTTTTTTTTAGATCATTTCAGTGGATGAACAAAAAATATATATAATATAGTAATATGTTTTATTTTTATTTTATTAATATATATTTATATATATACATATAAACCCATGAGTTTAAATTGATATTTTCAGGTTAATTTTAACATCTATTATTTTTTCTTAAGTTTTAAAATATATGTCTCTTTATCTTGGAAAGTTCTCTTTTATAAACATAATTACTTATTTGCTCTGTCCTATAATATTAAAGAAAACTGTTTCAAAATACCAATATTGATAGTATTACAAACACCTACTGAAGGAGATTAACATATTTCCTTTTTTGATGTATAGGTAATGAGACTGTCCTTTCATTTCTGTATGTCAACCAAAATTTTTTATTTGAAGCCTGAAATGAATTTTGAGTTACAAAGGTCTGGTGAAGTCTCATCTTTTTTTTTTTTTTTAAGATGACAAACAAACATCCTATATTCCAAAAACACATTTACTTTCTATAGGAGATATGTGTCACTTTGTATCATTCATAACTCCTTTTTTTTCTCCTCTTATCTCACTTTTTTATTATATTATGTTAATCACCATACATTACATCATTAGTTTTTGATGTAGTGTTCCATGATTCATTGTTTGCGTATAACACCCAGTGCTCCATTCAGTACGTGCCCTCTTTAATACCCATCACCAGGCTAACCCATCCCCCCACCCCCCTCCCCTCTAGAACCCTCAGTTTGTGTCTCAGAGTCCATAGTCTCTCATGGTTCATCTCCCCCTCCAATTTCCCCCCCTTCATTTTTCCCTTCCTGCTATCTTCTTTTTTTTTTTTTTAACATATAATGTATTACTTGTTTCAGAGGTACAGGTCTGTGATTCAACAGTCTTACACAATTCACAGCACTCACCATAGCACATACCCTTCCCAATGTCTATCACCCAGCCACCCCATCCTTCCCACCCCCCAGCACTCCAGCAACTCAAAACTCTCTTCCAGTATGTTTTTCCAAATGCTTGTCTCACTTTTATAAAAATCCTCCTTAATATGCACTACCATACATAGTGAGTCTCCAAGAAATACTAATTTATAGCAGTATGCTAAGTACCCACAGGATCCTTACTTCTTTACCCTAGAAGGTAGTATAACATAAAGTAAAAATTCTACAGCTAGACAGACCTGAGCTTGAGTCAGAGTGCTACTATTCACTGGGAGACACTGAACAAGTTTTGTAATCTTGCTGAGCCTTAGTTTCCTTATTTGTAAAACAAGAAAAAAAATACCTACTTCATAGGGTTATTTTCAAGATTAAATGAAATAATAAGCCACTTAACACATAGTAAATGCTTATTAAGTATGTAAGCCACTTAACACATAGTAAATGCTTATTAAGTACCAGCTATCACTGCCTGGGACTCCCTATTTCAACTATGAATATATAAAACCATGAACCGTGCATATAAAACCACTGAAGTCACATCTCCTCCCCCACTTCAATACATTATGATACTATAGAGCCCCTAACTTTGTTCTCTTTTAGGTTTGGAGTACCTTGTGGCAGGACATGAAGATGTAAGAACAGGCAAACTAGTCGTGAATATGAAAAGTTTTGTCCAGCACTGGAAGCCAGCCCTTGGAAGAAAAGTCATGGATATTTTAAAAAGAAAGTGCAAGTAGCAACAAAGGTATATAGCACATAATGACACTTCTCTATGTAGAAAACACAAGCTTAATGGAAAGGAGACCTCAAAAACAAAACTGGAATTTTTTAAGTGCCAAAATATATAGAAATATTCCAATGCATGGGCCTAGTCTAACCTGTCTCTTTGGGGGCCATGTTTAAATACAGTTTGTTTTATAAAGACAAATGAAAAATCCTACACTGATAACTGCCTCCTATGGGACTGATTCTGTAATTCATAACTATTCAGAGTATTTTTAATAGCAGTATGATATTTAGCAGTAATGCATTAAGAGGAGTACATCTAACAAGGACTCCTTCCAGCTTCAGATATGTTACTTCTATTTGTGCTACTTAAAGTAATTAAGGAGATTTTAAGGACTCCCCAACCCTACTATCAAAAAAAGGTTTTTCTTAAAAAAGAGCCTGCCTTTGTGTGATGTGTGTGAACTTTGGTCTATGGAGTGTTAAATGGAATCTCTCCACATGTATATACTATTTCCTTGTATAAAGCACTTTACTACCTACCACTTGTGTTGGGAAAGTTGGAAGACCATGGTTGACAGAAAGAAAAATAAAGGGCGTGTAAGAAAACCTACTGAAACAGAAGCACTGTCACTACGTGTGGACAAAAGGAAGTTGTACGTGTTAGCTCTGAACACTTGGAAAAAACCCAAAAGGAGAACATGTTTGCATATGAAGTCTCAGCTTCAGGCTAGAGGTTAGATTCCACAGATACCAGCCATGATGAAAAATTTTTTTAAAAACTAAACAAAATGAGACTTTAAAATAAGAGGAAGAAGAAATCTTAAGAGTAGAAATATGCTTGGATGAAAAGGAAATGGACTTTAAATTTTTAAAAGCTCATTTATTTGCAATGCACTTGTATACACGGCAGAAATTATTGTAGACACAGAATTTGTTTTATTTTTCTGTTTAGTATTTAAACCTGAATGTTGGAACAGTTTCCTCCTTATCTTTATTAACACTATATGGCCATTATACTTACTCATTTTTTTGACACAGTGTATGTGATAGTTCACCAAACTACAGTTTTCATTATTACTCATATTCTGTACCCAAGCACAACCACAATACATACAGTTTCTTCTGTACTTGAATATACAAAACATAAACCACAGTGTCATAAGATTAACTTCACATACAGAACATATTTTTTTTCCTGAGGTCCTGTGGACTTGCAAAATATATATATATATATTGCTCTGTTAATTTTTTATATTTCATATATGTAATAAAGGAATATGATTTCCTGATTTTTGTCTCATTTCCTGGTCAACTCTCCTAAAGATTACTTTGTCTTAACGAGGGAACTCAAACCTAATTCCTTAAATTAAGAAAATGAAAGAAGGGCCTGGTATTTCTACTCTTTTACTCTGGGGTGTGGGGATAGCATGGAAGCTAATTCAGATGGGATTAGTTTCTGTAGCCTTTGGACATGAACTTTTATCAGATGAAGTGCATTTTATACTACATTTACTTGTTAAAAAGCAATGAAAGTTCACTGTTGAAAATACAGAAAACCAGGGCACCTGGGTGGCACAGCTGGTTAGGCATCTGACTCTTGGTTTCAGCCAGGTCGTGATCTAAGGGTAGTGAGATTGAGCCCCACATCAGGCTCCATGTTTATCAGAGAGTCTGCTTGAGATTCTCTCTCCCTCTCCCTCTGCCCCTCCCACTTGTGCTTGCTCTCTCTAAAATAAATAAATAAATCTTAAAAAAAAAAGAAGAAGAAAATACAGAAAACCGCATCAGGAAAAAAAAAAAAAAGACCTACATTTAAACCATCCTGTGATGAGAGCTGTTAGCATTTTAGTGCCTAGGCTGCTAGACTGCTTTCTACACATGTACATACCTTTTACAGAATTGGAATTATACCATACGTACTCTCATGAAATCTGCTTTTATAACCTGTAGCATGTCTTATCTTTTCCTATCTTATCCTGGTAGGTGGAATGCCATTTAGTGGGGGATGATTTACAAGCAACTTATCAAACATGTTGATAATTATATCACATCAAGAAAAATATTTTAAATACATCAAATATAGAATTTTCTTAACTTTCAGAATTGCCAAGGGGCCTTGTTTTCCATTTCACTTTATTTAAAATAACTATTGCCCGGTGCGCCTGGGTGGCTCAGTTGTTAAGCATCTGCCTTCAGCTCAGGTCGTGATCCCAGGGTCTTGGGATTGAGCCCCACATCGGGCTCTCTGCTCAGCGGAAAGCCTGCTTCTCCCTTTCCTGCTCCCCCTACTTGTGTTGCCTCTCTCGTTGTGTCTCTCTCTGTCAGATAAGTAAATAAAATCTTTAAAAAAAATAAAATAAAAATAACTATTGCCCATTAAAAAGAATACAAATAATGTCTATTTCTTAAGAGTAGAAAAATGTACATAATATATTAAATTTAAAAAATTGCAGAACAATACGTATAGTAATAACACCTGTCCCAAAACACATTTAAATATAAACAGTGGTCTAAAAGGCCCGAAAGATAGATCAGAGCAGTATTTACCCCGTAAGGGAAAGAAGGAGGTAGATGTTCACTTTTTATTTTGCATGTATTTATATTGCTTGGCATTCTTTCATTGATCATGTACTACTTTTGTAATTTATTTTTTTAACAATTAAAATGTAATCAATTGTTTGTAAAGTCTGTTTAAGCAAAGTTTTAACTAAAAGTTTAATTTTAACTAGTTTGCCAAATTACTGGGCCCCTAATGGGTCTTCCCATTCCTTTTTTTTTTTTTTAAGATTTTATTTATTTGACAGAAAGAGACACAGCGAGAGAGAGAACACAAGCAATGGGAGTGGGAGAGGGAGAAGCAGGCTTCCCGCCAAGCAGGGAGCCCGATGTGGGGCTCAATCCCAGGACCCTGGGATCATGACCTGAGGCGAAAGCAGACGCTTAACGACTGAGCCACCCAGGCTCAGTCCTTTTTAACTGGAATCTTCTTCCTTAGGTGCTCTTTCAACACCTTCTCTGGCAACATTAAAAAAAAAAAAATCATTGTTATAACTGTTTCTTAATATCTTCATTCTTAAATCACCTGCAGCCCGTCAACTGCAGTTTTAATTCCTTATGAGCATCATTTGGCTTCTAAAGTAGAAAAAAAAGAAACCTATGTTCCCCACCAGTCAAAGTATGAGCAAGCCACCTCAAGGCCCCCTTCCCATTCCATTATTTCATTGTTCTGCCACACTTCCTATCTACACTTTCTCCTCCTTGGCATTTTGCAAAACAACAATCACAGTACCAAGGCAACAGAGTCAAAGAAAAATTCCATCTATGGCTTCACCTCCTTCGAGAGCTATTAGGAAAGTTTCTGCCCCCAGAGCATTATTCCCAGTACCATTGGGCTTTATTAGTCAGCAGATCAGTTGCATAATGTCCACATACCTACCCATATAATTTGCCTGAGGTCAACTCAGTCTATGCCCTCTTATTACATCACTTTCCCCATAGAGGAATGTTACTAATATTTAGTATGTGATGCAATGGAAATTCTCAATAATAGGATAATCTTTTAATAGTGTCCACCAAATGAGGTCAAATCTGTGGGGATGTGACCACGAGTCCAAAAAGCAGTGTCCTTCTGGCTATATTAAACGGAAAGCAAGGCTCGTTATGGGTAAACATAGTTCTTTGGGATACTTTGGGTTCTTGCAGAACAAATCCTTTTCTAAAGGATCAGAGACTTATCAACTCTGAAGGGTGGGAAAAGGGACCTTGAAAATTCCTTGTGCGGCCTGTCCTGTGGCCACTCCCCTGGAATGCCTGAGAACAAGGAGCGTGAGCACTGCCTGGGTATTGAGGAGTTTTGTCAGAGGCCCCAGGACTGAAATGCTTTTGTGTTCATTGTTTCAATGATAAGCAGTCCCCTAACCTAACTTTATCAAAGAGCCAAAGTTACTCATGACTTACTTCCCACAGTTTGGAAGGAAAATATTTATGAACAACCTCAATTTTCAAGGGAGATTGATATGATAAAAATGGAATAGAAGTAAAAGGGTGTGCCTGGCATGACTGATGTTATTTTAAGTCTCTCAGAGAATGATTTGTCTGAGAATACTTTTTGAAAAATGATGCCCTTTACCTTGCTTTCCTACACTTTTGCCAAAGGGATTTAAACATCTCTCTACTTTTTTGAGCCTTACTGGCTGTTTTTGAGACCTACAATATTTTAAATGACAAATTCCCAGATTTACTATTAGTCAATTCACATATGCTGAATAACAAAAAAAGCAGAATGTTGGTCATGAGAAAGAAGGAAAGATGCACTGGACCAAATAGATATTTCCAGAATAGAGATGCACGTTCTGTTAAGAGAGGGTTTTCGTACATGCTGAATATATCTCTGGTTTCTTAATATGTAGTCACAGGCAGATTAGCAATGAATTAATTTATAAATCCAAAAATATCCCAAGATATACTAGAAATGATCAAATCATAGTGCACTTAACTGAATAAAGGGGTGAAAAGCCGCCAGACAGGGAACCTTGCTTCCCAGAAAGAAAAATAACTACCATGCAAATTCTCACAGTATGAGCAAATTGGTGTGCCCAGAAATTCCCTGGACACCTTCTTCCCTGTCAGGATACCACCAAGAATTTCAAGCTTAGCAAATAAAAAATACCACAAATTATAACACCAATAGCAATAGATAATTGAGAGTTTACTTCAAGGTGGTACTTTTCTAAGTGCTTTCTGTGTGTTATTCCCGTTTGATCCTCCTAAGCACCCCTGAAGTGTGTGCTATTATTATCTGTATTTCCTAAATAAGGAAACTGAGGCACAGGGACACGAACTAAATTGTCCAGGGACACTCAGCTTATAATTGTGGAGCCTGGATTTAAACCCAAGAATTCTACTGCCCAGAGTTCATATTTCCACCACTAAAAAGGGATTCTGGCTTTTAGAAAGGAATTCATGGGAGGTGATACCAATGCATCACCTGTTTCTTTTAGATCATAGTTGAAGGAAGAACACAAAGTCAGCATTTCTCTCAGTTCTCCTCCATACTCCAGCTTATAATGTATCCCATTATTCTATCCTACAATTACATAATTTTCTACTGACTTTCTCATTTTTACATTGCCATTAGGATAACACTGTTTACCATAATTTATACCAAAATGAACTAGTAAGAGTCTGTTTTTTGTTTTGTTTTGTTTGTTTTTTTACCTTTGCTGTTCTCCTTTTGGTCTGGCATTCTGAGATCTATTTAGGCATAAGGTCTGTATGTGCATTTATCAATACCAACCCTGAATAAGCTGCTGTGAAATTCAACAGCATTCCAAGTCAATTCTCTCAGCTCTGACTTTTGCTGTGTGGAGTAATTCTGCTTACAAGATGAATGAGAAGAAGTTACACCAGAGAGAGATGAGGAAACAGAAAAAAATAGAGAAAGTAGGCACTTGGTCAACCAAGGAGAGAAAGCAAGGGGCAGGACAAAAGGCATAAAGATATTAGAGAATAGGGGCATGGGACTGGCTTTGTCGGTGGAGCACATAACACTTGATCTTGGGGTTGTGGGTTCAAGTCCCAAGTTGGGTGTAGAGATTACTTAAAAATAAGATATTTTAAAAAATATATTAAAAAATACATAAGAATAAAGGAAAGCAACAGCTAGGATAGGAACCAGAGAGTCTGTTCTAGTAACAATACACAAAATATTTCAAAGTAGAATATACTCAGTTAACCAATTCTTCCATTGCTAGATACCATGATTTATGAGAGATAGTTCTGAATATTTATTACAAAATTTTTCCAAGTCTCTTGCTGTTAGTTTTGTCTGAGGACACAGAAAAGCGAAAGATTATAAAGCAACAGAGAAACCTTAGGTAACTGTAATTAGGAAATTAGGAAACCATTAGTTTTATCGCATATTGAAACAGAATTTTAAATTTATCTTTTACAAAGTAAATAGTCCACAAAATATTTAATGTCAGTAAGCATTGCCTAGAGGTCTTTTTCAATATACGTACTCATAATAACAGTTATCACTTTTGCCCTTATTAGGTGCCAGGGATGGTGTTAAACTTCACATGACTTATCTCCTCAGACCTCAGTCAATAACCTTGCAGTCACTTACTATCATTATGGAGAAACTGAGAACCAGAGGGTTAAATAGCTTGTCCACGGCCACGAAATAAGCAGCCAAGCTAGCA